CTGCATTAATTAACACAAAAACAAAAAAAAATATTTATTCCTTACTCCTATTGTAGGCTTAATAGAGGATGTCATATTTGCAGTCCTATTGAAAATATTAAAAAAAAATATAAAACAAATTTTTACAAATTTTAAACATATATATTAATAACAGACTTGTAACGCTATTAATTTGCAAACGAATCACAAAAATAAATCAAGTAAAAAAAAATGAAACAGGTTAGCTGTACTTTATCTGTCCTCAAACATATAAAATGACAATTTACTCTTTGTCAGTCTTTGATTATCTAAGAAAACTGTCACAGTTTCATCCTTTGATGTATACATTAAAGTGAATGCTTAAACAATTTATCACAGTAGGTTAAGAAAGATAATTTTATTGAATCACCACTATTACTGCTATTTCATAAGTGAAAAGTGGTAAAAAAATTTTAGAGTAAGCAAAGAAAGCTATAACCAAAACAATGTGACCATAAATGGTTTGATGACAATAAATTAAATGATATATATATGATTCACTGTTCATAATTTTATTAAGATTAAAGGAGATAAAATCATTTGGCAAAGAGCGCTGCAAAAATATTTTTATTAAATCCAATTTCATAAGATGCTCTGACAAGAAAAAAAAAAGAGGATATTTCTGAAGTAAATATAGAATTAAAAGTGAAACAAATAGAATGACTTTGTAAATATATTGAATCAATAAGATATCAATATTTCATATAAGTAATGAGCATTTCATATATTTGTGATAAGAAGAAAAATCAAAATAATTTTCTTTTTTTTTTTTTTCAGTGTACAATTGATTTTAAAACAATAAGCCAGAATTATGTAAGTTCATTCGTAAATAACTATATCTTTTAATTAACATTCTCTCTCTCTCTCTCACTCTCTCTCTCTCTCTCTCTCTCTCTCTCTCTCTCTCTCTCTCTCGCTCTCTCTCTTTCTGGAAAAAAAAAAGTAAATCATTTTTTTTTTAAAAGTGTTATGAAATGTTCCTTATGGCATACATTGTATGTTTAATCTAATGGATTTAAAAAAAAATTATTCTGTACCATAAATGGAGTTTACTTTGTACTGATAGTCAACACTTTTGAAGTATTTACAAAAAAATAAATAACAATGTTTTTTTTTTATGTTTCATTTTTTAGCTACTCATTTGCATTTTAAATGTACTGTTTATGTTGTTTTTTCAGTGAACCAAAACAATGAGTGATATTTCAAGATCTCATGAATATTTAAGCTTCAGAAGCACCATTCCGCAGAGGAAGGTCAGTCACTATGACAGTAGGACAATATAATGTTTACTTAAAGGAAAGTTGAATATTAAATATTTTGTCAGTGTAAAAAAATGCTTTAGAAAACAGTGATCCTTCCCTCTTTAGTCATCTGAATTTAATAATTAACATGTTGAAGCTTTAAGATAAAACAAAAACTAGCAGTTTTTTAACACAAAAGATCAAATAGCCCTTTATGAGTAGACCATAATTTGAGACAATTGGTGAAAAAAACAAAATATGCTCTGAAATGAGTATACATTGCAATCTAATGAGCTAAACTTCTCCTAGGATAAAAGCATGCACCAGTAACAATTACAGACATACTGGGTACACTAACTTGAGTGATTCTGACACACCACAAAGACAGTATGTTTTTCATAAACAAATTATGATCACAGTCTTTACTATAAGACAACGTAGGATACATTATACTTATAAGTTTGAGTAAGATTGCAGTTGTACTGAATATTTTGAATAGTTGTTGCTAATTGTGAGATCATCTAGCAGCAAAGCAAATAATTAAATTTAGCTCATCATTTGTGCTTACACAAGAAAATTGCTACTAATACCAATGTAATTGTACTAAACTAATTGTAAATTATTTATTCTCAGATTATAGTAGATGATGACAATAGTAAAGAGTGGACTTTATATGAAGCAGGGCCTAAAACAGTCAAAAGTCCACTTATTTGCTTCCCTCCAGCAAGTGGTACTGCAGATGTTTATTTCAGACAAGTGTTAGGACTTTCAGCTTTAGGATATAGAGTTATAGCTGTAAGTTACTCTTTATAATTACTAATTACTGAGGGATTTTTCATTCTTTGAAAATGTTCATTAATTATACTTAAAAAGACATTTAAAATAGGTATTTGTTTCACTGGCAGCTAGCTTTCGAATATCGAAGCTTATCTTTCCATTTAATTTTTCTTTAATATTATATAGGCCTATATTTCATACTTTAATTATAATAAAATTATAAAGTAGTAGCCAAAATATCTTATTGACAATATATTGTTAGCTTTTTTATGTAATGTAACAAAATTCATTTTTTTGTATACTTGTATATTGACAACTAGGTGGAGTATCCTATATACTGGACAATGAAGGAGTTTGTAGAAGGCTTCAGGAAGCTACTTGATCATCTAGTATTGGATCGGGTGACTATTCCAAAATTTTGTGTTTTTACTTATTTATTTTGAAATGGTGGCTAGTTAGTAAATCACTCGGCTGTCATGATAAAGGTTGCTAGTTTAAGTGCTGATAACATATTGATAGTACTTCCAGGGTGCTTGTATGTAGGTAGGACTAAATTGTAGAAGGGGTTGCCCTTATAGGACAGTTTCATGCTGGGAACTATCATCTTTAAAAGCTGCTATAATTCACTTACTAAACATTGTGTGGTATTTGGGGAGATTTATGATTCCAGCTGTTCTGTTGAAAGAAAAAAAAATTAAATTAAAAATTAAAATTTACTTTTTTTTTTAATGTGTTAGATATCATTTGTTACTGATCCTTTATTTTTGAATTGATATGTTGTTTAAGACATTTTTCTATTTGGTTTGTTTTTATATCAGGTTCATATTTTTGGTGCATCACTTGGGGGATTTTTAGCTCAAAAGTTTGCTGAACATAGCTGCCGGTCACAGAGAGTAGCATCTTTGGTTTTATGCAATACCTTTTATGATACCACTATATTTCAGCAAACAAATTCAGCACCTACGTAAGTAGAAAACTTTTAATGCTAAAGCCATCAAATTAAATTATTTGAAGATTATGGCTACAAATGTTCAAATGTGCCATTGATAAAAAAACTTAGTTTTTTTAATCAGCTTCTGGATGATGCCTGCAGTTTATCTGAAGAAAATGGTGATGGGAAGTTTTGAAAGAAGAGCAACAGAACCAGAAATTGTGGACTCCATAGATTTTATGGTTGAAAAAGTAATTTTTTTTTCTAATAACATTATAATTTTTTTAATGCTTAAAAGGATTACATCTTTAGCAATATCAAACTATCAGAAATATAAGTAAAAGTTTTTCTTTATTAGCTGTGACCTTTATTATCAATATATTGTATATGTATCTCTTACATTACACACCAGCTGCACCAGTTAATTTGTTCCCATGCTTTATATTGTTAATTATAGCCAGAACATTCCATTCTTTTTTTTTTTTTAAACTTCCAATAAATGGGTTACATTTTAATGATCCCTCTAACATACTTATTAGCTCTTGAATTATTGTATCTGATATTATGAAATGTAACGGCCTTCGTTCTCTATGGACCCCCCACCTTTTTTTTTCTTCCTGTGCATCATAATTTCTCTGACATAAACTTTTGATTTGATTTGGAATGACTGGCTTTGTAGCCCCCATGTGCACATGTCTTAAGTCTGTGAATTCTATACCCCCTACCTCCTGAACAAAAATTTAGTCCTAAGTACAATCTCTGACTTTTCTTCAGCTTCTCAATTCAAAATTGAAATATTTTTTATACTCTATGTTGAATGTTGTGTCTTAGTGGTAAAAGGAACCTGAGTACAAAATTTTATGCGAATCCATTTGATAATTTAAGTGATCTTTTAAATACACTTCTGCCTTTCCATAAGAACATTTACTTAAGTTTAAACAAAATTGTTGTAACTAACATTTTAATAAACTTTGTATTACAATTGAACAAGTTTTTTTATTTTCCCAGTTAGATGGTATGTCTCAACAAGCACTTGCTTCCAGACTGACATTGAACTGCATGAATTGCTATGTTGAACCACAAAAACTGAGAGATGTAGATATTCTTTTGATGGATGTAAGCCACTGGATGAAATGAATGCCTTTTTTGTTTAAAACATTAATATTTTATTCTTTATTGAAACAAAATTCTTTTTTACTTTTATCTGTTAAGTAGCCAATATTTTTTTTTAAATATTGTACAAAGTCTCATACATGTTTTTAACACCTTGTTAATCTTTCTTGACCAGGTATTTGATGAATGTGCTCTGTCATCAGGTGTGAGGGAAGAAATGTGTAAATGTTATCCAGAAGCTAAAAGAGCACATTTAAAAACAGGGGGGAATTTTCCATACCTAAGTAAAAGTACAGAGGTTAATGTCTTTCTTCAGGTGATGATTTCTTGAATATCAAAAGACATTTAGTAATTATTTTATAGCATCAAGATTTAAAAAAACACTCTTTTTATATTTGCTTTGAAATACAATAATATTTTACATAATGTATATATCAATTCAAAGTTATATTAATTAATACAATTTCTCTCAACAGATTCATCTACGCAAATATGATATGGGCCCTTATAGAGCTCGTGAACTAACAGAAAATGAATTACAATTATTATCTGAGGCAGATGGTACATTGAATAAATCTTCGTAATGTGATACATTTTGTATATAAATAAATAATCTTTTTTTTTTTACTATCAAAAAAGCTGAAGTCGAGATTTTCATGAAAAGATTTTCCTTTTTAAAATAAAATAGACCAGGTTATATGTATAACAACCGCATGATGTATTGTCTCTTCTTTAAGTTATTTGTAATTTAAGAAATGCTAAATTTTTCAAAAATTTTTTTTTGGAAATTATCTACTAATGTCTAAAAACTGAGTTGCAAAGCATTTAGTCAATTTGACCATTAATAATTTCTAAATGCCAAGTGTGGCTATTAAGCTTTTCTTTTCCTTGTCTAAACTATCAACATTTGTAACTCCCCTATATATATATATATATATATATATTTCCACCATTTCCTTTAAGTATAGATCAGATATTTTAACCATTAATAATTTCAATGCTAAAGAGTAAAGTATATATAGTTATATTAGTGTCTAAGAGCAAGAGTAATACTCTGACGGTATTCCCCACATGTTAGGCTACTTGTTCACTAGCTCTATAAATTAGTTTACAGTTTACACCAAATATAAAAAATAATAGAAAATTATTATTAATTTTTGTTTGTTTGTGTTGCTGCTTACCTAATTTAGATGGCCAGTAGTAAGCTTAGACATATCTATGACCTGTGTAGTCTTCAAAAATCAACTTCAATAGAACTAATCTTATAAGTAGAACTAGTCAAATCATTTAAATAATTTTAACTTATTATCTATTACAGCTGCTAACTATTCATGGAAGCATATGCATTAAAAATATGTTTCTGTTTGAAATTTTTTTTTATTACAGTGAGTAATATTTAAGTTTCATTCAATTTCTTTGGTTCAGTTCAATGGATTTTCTTAAAAGACTGTCTTATTAGCTGAATTATTTGATCTCTCTAGTTTTATTAAGGTGATTATGATTTTGCAACTTTGTTACTGTATTATTTTTTTTGAAATTACAAATTTAATTTGCATTTGAATAAACATTTTAAATTTGTTGAATGACTTTTTTTTTTCATTTTTGTTTATAAGGTAATTCTGCTTTTACAGCTTTTTATGTTTTACTTATACTGCACTATAAATCATTACAGTACCTTCTATGTTTCAGAGCAACTTTATTTCTGATAATACTCATAGTTTGAGCATATTTCATTGAACATTCCTGTTGTAAAGTATCACCACTTCACCTGTGTATGAAGTAACTTGTTTTTTTTTTACTTGTATTCAATTTTAAAATGATTGTTAATAGATATCTAAAAATTTATTTCTCTAAGATTAGCTTTAAAATTGAAGTACCCAAATAGACAATAAATTAGTTGTGCCGGTAGTATTTTAACAAAGATAAATATGATGTTTACTACATGTTGGTAGCACATGACCTTGTCAGCTTACTTCATTTGACATCCTATGCTCCAATGTTTCTTGTGATGTTATTACATACATACTATACTATGTTGTGGTTCAGATTGTGACCACTTCTCCATTATTCTTTCACATCTTTTACACTTAATTCTATTTAAAGTGTAAAAGGTTTTAGCTTTAAATAAATATATGGTCATTGTTTTTTTCCCACCATTACCTGGTATTGTTACCCAATGGAAAATAAAATCCATTCATGTTGTTGACATTGTTTTTGCTAATATTGTTATAAAACATAAATTTTATGTTCCAGCATTTATCATATACAGTCGTTCCTTCAAAAAAAAGAATGTTATTTTTTAACTTTGTTTGTGAGGGAAAGCTCTGTTTGAGTCAAATTAACAAGAGACTAGCATTCTAAAATCTAATGTGCAAACAAAAATACTTTTTTTATATATATTCATTGTCATATGGTTACTATTTTGTTTATTTCTGGTTTATTAAAAATAAAAAAATGAATTAAAAATTATATTAAGCCATTCATAGACAATTACAATTTTACTGACATTTTAAAAGAACTTTGAGTTGATGTAAATTTTATGCCAATAATTTTTAAAAATGATATTAAACACTTAGCTGTCATTGACTGCTGTTGATTTTATTCTGTCTGTCACATCTAGATGTTAAATAAAAGCCTTATTTAAAGTCCGATTTCACCATCTTCTTTAGAATGCTTGAAATAGGTGAGGATACTTTCAACCTCTTTTATTTTATACTATATGCTTATTGTAAGTGCATTTATTATTTTAAAACAAAATTTCGTTTGAAGTTTTGGTTTGCAAATGATTTTCTCCAAAACTAAATTCAGTATTATAAATTCAAAGTCACTGTCAATTTCACTTTCTCAAAATAGGTGTAAAGACTATTTAGGATTCTCCATAAGTATGTCAATTAAGTCATCCAATTTTTTTCTGAAAACACAAGCTGTAATTGGAATAGTTAATGGATTTCAATTTTCTTGTGCTTGATTTGTTATTAAAAAACTAAGTTGTTTTTTCATTGCACTACAATACTTGACTTCATCATCAGGTATACAGATTGAGTAACATGAAATCACTGTTATGCCATATGAACAGCCTTTTTTATGTACAAGCAAAAATTATTATTTTTTTGACTTTCAAAGTCAATTGATACTAATGCTTCAATCAATAAACATTACAATATTACAAGGAAATAATGCTTTATTGTTCGCTTTTTATGTAAGTGTTTTAATGCATAGAAATTTAAAGTATGGAGAAACTATTATTGTGTTTTACTTTAAACAAAAAATACTAAAATGATATAGACTTCAAGTCTCAAAATAAAAGAATGCTTTATTTTTACATTAATTTGTTGACACATCTGATGACAGTCATATTTTTTTGTTGTTAATGATCTTTTATGTGAGTCTCTAATGTTTGCATTGCAGTTCTTCAGCTTTAGTTGCACTCTTCTGTTAGTAAGAGTAGGTAAACACCTGAGATGGTTTTTAAAGCATTTCTAGGGAGCACCATCTTACATTTGGCATATTCTCAAACCCCAATATGGAGTGCACCATCCAGAGTATTGAGTCTAGACTGACCACATTATCATTCAATGGTAAAATTATTCCAGTAGTTTTATGTGCTTACTGTAAAGTGCTCTGGTCTCAGAGCTAGACAGATGGATCCTAAGAACCACAGTTTGAAAGATGTTTTTTAGTCAGGTGATGAAAATACTTATTTCCCTCATTGCTCACTTGAAGGAGTCTAGAAGCCTTTTATTTTAGGCAATTATCTATTTTTGATGCTACAATGGCTACTATGCTGCCATGATAGGTAAAGTGATTTACCAAATTAAGGAATTTCTTTAACTATAGTGAGAGATAATAGACATCATATGTTGAAGATATTACAATAGGCTATTGCTGTTTCATTTTGTTAAGCATTACACCAGAGAAAATAACCATAAGTATTGAAGGTTAGGGTTAGGTCGAAGATTAGTCAGGAATGCAGTATTTCCCTTGGCTGTGCAGCCCCAGTTGTGACCTACATATTTTGCCACATCCAGGGCAAGCATAACCATTGTCCGCAGATGGTCGATTTAGATTTTCTTTTCGCCGCCTGCATTTGTCCTCGGCAGCGGATTTTCTTTTGGTCACAAATGTGTATCCCGTGGCCTTCATGAGTGACCTCCAGCTGTCTTGTTCTGAGGTCCCATGCAACCAGGTGCTCTCTTCTAAGTCAGCTAAGGAAAGTTGATGCTTAAGCTGGTCTTTGAAGCATTTCCATGGGGCGCCTGTAACGTCCACCACCTTTTAGTTCACCAAAAAAGACTGCCTTTGGCATACGTTCGTCTCCCATATGGGATACGTGCCCTGCCCAGCAAATATATACCCCTTCTTTACACCATTCTCTAAAAAAAAGGAGCACATAAGTCACCGTATATAATTTGATCTTATTGTATCTTAGAAAATTGAGGGCATCAAAGCAAACTATAGGAACTGACTGCATCAAAAGCCTTAGCAAGATTGACAATTGCAGCATGCAACTTCAAGTTTTTTTTCCTGCATAATTGAAGTTATGTCCAACATACCTTAATTTATTCTAATACCACACTATTAGATTGTACTCCATCCACTATAGAATCAGACTCCTGATTCAGAAATCCGGTCAATATTTTGCCTACTACTGATAACAGAGTAAGACCTTGGTGGCTGGAGCAATCAGACTTATCACTTTTTTTGTATAGCATGACAAAGTGAAGTTATATAATTCAAGTGAAACAAAAGAAAATATAATTAACTATTTTAATAATTTGAAAGCACTGTCTAGAACTTGACAATATTTGTAGTTTTCTTCTTGATATCACTGGCAGGTTTAGTGGCGGATGCCAAGGGTTGAGCATCAGCACTTTCTCCCATTTCTATAGTGTCAACTGTTATCTCTGTGTTACCTAGTCCAAAATGATATGAACAACACTTTAAAATAAATCAAGCCATGTAACTTTAAACATTTGTGATTTGGTTACATACATGACTAGCCAGATATTACCAATGGGTCTTAATTTGCGTATCACTGATCTAGTCAGTGATATAGTGTATTAGAAACAATTAAACAAAATGATATAAGTAAAGCAAATGCATGAATGTAAAAATATTATGAATGGAGCTATTAAAATAGCTAATCCACCCTAAATCCATTTTTTTTATCAAAACATTTGCTTGAATATATATTTATATCTAGATCTATTTTCTAGATACTATTATAATAGATATAGATCTAAATGTTCATTTATAACTAATCATGATCTTTGATACTTATAGTTTATAGGCCTAACTTACTTACTTAGATCTATATATAGGTTACTATAAGAAGTAGATGGTTGAAAGTAGCAGTATTATAAAATGTTAAACATTTTTTTGCCAAAAGCTTCTATGCAATATTATGAAAGGGGTTGTTCCCAAGTATTTCTGAGTCACGGAGTGGTGTTTGATTTCTATTTTTATATATAGTGGGAATATGATAAACGTATTAGATCAATATTTAGTGGTTTTAATCAATTAATGTGCGGCAAACAATAGTTTATTAACTGCAGGAATATCAAGTACACCCTTTTTATATCTTAAACTTAAATGAAGCTGAAGCATATATAAGATTCTAGTCTTTTATAGAGATCTATGTCTAAATCTATAGTAGGCCCATAAAATAAAGAGACTGAGTCTGACTGATTTTAACAACATGGTCATTGGTCAGATAGACATTCACATTTAGACCATGTGTAGTCGATGACACTTCAAAACCACACTGTTTTTTTTTTTTATTGTGCATTATGCTCAATAGTGTTTGCCCAGACAAGAAAATAACACACTGGTATGGTTAGTCAAGCATGTACGTAGATCTATCTTTACACTAAAATAGTTACACACCCTCCTAGCTGAAAAAGTAAATCGACTGTACATGTGTCCGACTGATTTTAACAACCTGGTCAGATAGACATATACATGTAGGCTTAGTGTACTGTTGTGTGCAGTCCATAATGACAAGACCACTCTGCATTTTTTACCTATCCCGTTTAACGGTTATGCAATAGTGTTAGTTGTATGGTGAGTGGTCAAACAAAAAAAATAATACATAGGCTTGGTTAGTCAAGCATGTATTTACACTAAAATAGTTACACAGGTCAAATGTTTCATGAAACTCCAATTTTGTTTCTATATATTCTCTGGTTACAATGTTTCAATGTGCAATTCTAAATCTATTTTATTTAATGAGATTTTAAACTTTACTGATATAAGTAAAATTTTCCGTTATATAATAAGTTAATATACTTTTAACAAATTTAAGTATTTTTCTTTTGTACAGGTTTTAATTCAAAGCTAAAATACAAGCACCCATATTTATTAGACATCTTTTAAAAAAAATAAATTTCGTGCAATTATGTTTATATAAGAAACATCTTTCTTATTACATATTTTATTACGGTATGAGAAATATTCCTACAATGTTAAAAGAATTAGACCAAATAGTACTCAGGCAGAAAGTAAGATTAGCTAGGTCTAGTTTCCCCCACACACATACACAAAAGAATATAAGTTATAAAAAGTTTGTTAAGTTTAATTTTTCTTAGTTTAGTTTAACTATATTTTGAAATTCATGATAAATTTTTAGTTTAACTTCTTTATTTTAGTTGAAACATAGTTTTAGTTTAACTTTTTATATTTAGTTTAGTTCCCATCACTTCCCCCAATAGAGCCTCATCTTGCCATGTTTAAATCAGAGTGTGTTTATACTGCGCATGTAAGGTGTGCACGACATATGAATGTAGCTTTTAAAATGTATGTCAAGATGGCTAAAGTCACATTTTGCAGCTATAGTGAACGAATTTATGCAAAAATGCTTTTGAAACAGAAATTTGAAGGTTAATTTGATTAACTAATGAAATAAATAAACTATATTCGTATGTTCATGTGTAAAAGTAAAAAAAAAAAAAAAAAAGTAATGTTGAGCCCTTTCTCTTGATAGCTTGGGGGGTCTGGGGGAGCGCTGAAAGTCTTATCAGTGGGGTTTGGCGCAAAGCCCCGACGCCAAAAGCGTTGTCTTGCATTTTTCACTGCAGAAACGCATTCTCCTGACATTTACAGTTCATTATTCATTATATAAAAATGACTTTTTCATTAATGTTTAAAAAAGCTCATTTGTAAGTGATACATTTTGTTCAATAGGCCTGTTTGTGACTTTGTTTTGTTACAGAACTATAAATCAAAGCTTAAACAAAAAATTTCAGAAATGGGAGGAGAAATTATGTGAACCAATTAGATTTTACTCTAAATTTGTTTTGCATTTTTAGGATTCAAGTATAAATTGTGAGTTTTAGTCCCAAATTTATTTAACTAGAAAAATATCAGATTGAGTAAAGGTTGGAAAAAGGCGACTATGAAAAGAATATTTGGGTTCAGAACTCATCTCAATCGTTACTCTTATACTGAAAAAATTTCTAATGAATTCTAAATTTTCTTTTAAAAAAGTATGATAAATTCATGTGAAATTACATTTGACTATTCTGTTTTAAAGAGTGAAAACGATTAATCCTCGCTCTTTTTTATAATTTATGCTAATGATTGCATTTGGCAGGAAAGAATAGGGGTGGGGCGACTCGATATAAGAATTTAATTTATAGCATATATAAATTATATTAGTGACAGATTTATTTTTAATTTTGTAATTTCTTAACTATCAAACAAAAAGAAAAAGTATTGGCTTGCTTGATGGGCAGAAGGCAATTGCATGTATCGCCCCTCCCACCTGGAACAACCCTTTTTCATTTTATATTTACTAATGATAAAATTTGAGAGTGATGCGACATAATATACAAATGGGTTCACATATCAATAAGTAGCTTATATTATATAGATATTCAACTAATTTTGTTCACAAACTATGATTTTTTCCATAAAAATACAACTGCCCTCCACCACTCAGAGGGCTAGAGTGGGGAGGGCAGTAGATGCAATCGCCCCCCCCCCCCCCCCAAACCGAATCGGCCAAGATACCAGAAGGGGATCAACATAATATAAGAATTATATTTTAATTCAACTAATTTTGTTAAAAAACTATGATTTCTCCATAAAAGTAGGACCCCATCCCCCACTCAAAGCGTTTAGGTGGGAAGGGCAGGAGAGATAACCCCCCCCCCCCCCCCCCCCCCCATTGGCCAACA